AATAAACGGTTTTTGAGACGATGATTTTCATGTTTTGGGCGGGTCTTCGTTAATGACCTGGCTTATGTGAAGCAATTACCCAAAAACTTAATGCACTGCAATTACTTTATCACTCTTCGTGTTGTTGGATTTCTTTGCTTTGTTTTCCTCGAGCAGTTGAGCACGTGCAACGATTCAAATTGTCGGCGTGTCTTTATAATTTTTTTGTGTTTATTTATTTGACACAATTGTTGTTCCGCTTGGTCTAACGAAAATGTTGATGTCGAAGATTACGACACCTGGTAGTGCTGCCGGTCATTACAGTTTAGAGGAGGCGGGGAATGGAAGTACTGACCGAAATAAATTTGATAAATTTATAGGTTGCAGAAACCCTGTTTTAAAAAATCAAAAAAATGCAGTTTGTTTAAGTATTATATTGAGGTACATATTTTGCTTTTTTATGTTGTGGTAAATATATAGTGTTGCACCTCCTTATGCTTTCACACAATTTTTTTCCCATTGTTGATTGAGTTGGTTCTGCCCTGCATTTATAATCAGCTGCAGCAATTCGTTTTCGAAAATATTGTGGCACGTGACTCCCAAGCACAAAATTAAGACAAAAACTGGCGGTAAGAGGAAATTTGTAAAATCTTTTTAACGAGTTGCTCTTCCAACTTTCTTCGTTTCCACAAGGTTGCCCCTGAAAAGATGCCACATTGTGGAAAGGGCGACGAAGCCGTGTGTTTTATTCGATTTACGAGCCACTGCAGCCAAAGGGGAAGTCCCCAAGAGGGCCTTGCTTGAATTGCGATTGTATTCACTTTTTGTTTTTTCTGCATATGCCAGTCACACTGAATAAATTTCCTCCGGCCAAATGGATTTATCTGCCAGCATTTCGGCTTAAATTCCTTAACCCTTTCGACCCGCCTACTAAGCTAGAACTTAAAGAGATAAATGTATGCTCTTTTCATTTGGGCTTCCACTTGCAATTTATTTCATTTCATTCGAGTTCTAAATGGGTTCTTACACACGGCGGAAGTTGATTCACGGTCGGAGGAGAACTACACTGGGTTTGCATTTATTGGATAATTATACGGAATTTACTCAAATTTGTTTTATGCAGAGCCAATTAATTCTTCTGCTTTAAGTTGTCTACAAAATTTGAATTCTCAGAACTCATAATTCATTTATTTATTTTAATATCGATTTATTTACTTTATATTTGAGTCCACTGTTACGACCATAATCAACGAAACCAATTTTTCAAACTCAAGTGCTTCTCAGAGTCCGAACCTGGATTCGAAACAGAAGCGCATAAATTGTGCCCCAAGCGAACAAAGAATTAAGCCAAAAAAAAAAAAACTATATGTATATCCACTAATGACGATGGCGAAAACAAACCAAAAAAAAAGAAAAAAGAAAATCAAACCGAGAAAAAGACTGAATCGTCATGGAAGCCTGAGCAGCATCGGGTTAAAAATGCATAAACGGGCACAAAGGAAAAGGGCCTAAAAGAAGTAAAAGGAACCGCAGCCGAGCTTTGACTTTGAGGCTTTTTCAGAAATTGAAAGGCCAAAGTGAATATATTTTTGGGGCAGGTGTGTTTGAGGATGCCAAATTAGCAGCTACCTCCGTCTGACCAGCTCCTCCTCCTTCGCGACTCTTTCACCTCGTTTATTTCTTCATCCCATTTCCATTAAAGCCCCCAGCGAAATTTTGAACATCATTAATTTTAATTTTTGCGCAGACGCACCCCAGGGGCGGCAGGCTTCACTGCCTTCATTCTGGACACTGCAGACGCAGACAACCAGCCACGAGTGGTGAGTGATGAGTGATGATGACCTGGCGGAACGAGCCACATCACATTCGTAGAGCCGCCAATGTAATTAAGGTGGCCAAACGGAAAAAAGGTGCCACAGCGACAATTGAAAGTGTTGCAACGCCGGTTGACAAATTCGTGGGTTGCTCAAGAGTAATGCAATGTGCTGGTGATTGATTGCTTAGGTGGAAACATACATCTGGGTGGATAATTTCGAAATTTTAAATGAAAAACTCTCCTATTTGAACTTGGCTTTGCTAAGGCTCGGCTTTTATTATTATCAAGCCTATTTTAAAGGAATTTCCAACTGACCGTGTGGCCTAATGGATAAGGCGTCGGACTTCGGATCCGAAGATTGCAGGTTCGAGTCCTGTCACGGTCGTCAAAAGTTTTTTTTTACTTTATTGGAAGTTATTGGAGAACGGAAATAATCTACCCAATAATGGGTATTTAGTATAAAGAATATATTTCTTGACTGTTAAAATGTGGATATATATTTTTCAATCCTTATTCTCTCACCTTCTTGAAGCGTCTCCTTTGAGTTGAAGAATGCGTGGATGCAGTTTCGAGAAGATTACCGTTGGCATCCCCATCCCTTTTGCCCAGCGCCTGCAGAAGATCATCCACGTTGCGTATGTAAGGACGATCCCGGTCACGATTCGACTCCCTTTCCCTTTCGCCACCCCCTCCGCCGCCGCCTATGCAACTGGTAATGCTCCGATTGCCCACACTATTGCTGCGCGATCTGGACCGCGACTTCTGCTTGCCCAGCCAGTAAACCTGATTTGCCAAATTTATTTCGGCGGCTGCTGCGGCCTTTCTTCTGCCCAGTTGCTGTTGCTCCTGCACCTGCTGGTGCTGCTGGTGATGCTGCTGCTGCTGCTGCTCGCTGGCCAGATATTCCCCGGCTATGTGCACCTTGGGAGTGCTGACCAACTGCAGACCCGTGGCCCCAAACTGCTGGGGGAACTCGTGCAGCTCGAGGGGGTAGCGCGGATCCATGGGCTGGCCGGGTTGGCGGGGGTACATGTAGCCATCGCGCAGAAACATTTTACTGGTGGTATAAACCCTATCATTGATCTGGTACAGTCCATTCGCGCCGGGACCCTCGCCACCTCCAATAATTCCATTTCGCACATAGGCGGTCGGGCGATAGCGAACCAGCGGGTTGTACACATTCGATTTGGGGGGTTTCGTCTTGAAACTGCGGCGTCGAGTGCTGGGCTTCATAATTTCGCTTAATTTTCCGTTCGTTTATACTTTGCACCCCGATAACCTTTTTGTTTGCTTTTGAAATCCACCCCTGTGCTGTTGAATTGCCTGCGCACGTATCAAATGTTTTCGAGTTTAAGCCAGCTTGAACCAAGCGACCGTGTGGCCTAATGGATAAGGCGTCGGACTTCGGATCCGAAGATTGCAGGTTCGAGTCCTGTCACGGTCGACACCAAAGTAACTTTTTTTCTTTTTTATTTGTTCTCGGAAAACTAGTCGTATTATTTTTTATGCTACTAACTATTTGTGATGCGCGAAATTCAAGAAGGAAAACACAAAAATTTAATCAGAAGAGTTTAAATATACACACTTGAATGTTTTTACATAACTTCTACATGTAAAATAACGGCTCATTAAAAATGGGCAGTTTCGGTACTAGAAATATAAAATAAAAGGTAATAATTTGTTTTTTTTTTTAGAAAATGCCATATTTGTAATATTTACATGTATTTATTATTCTTTCATATATTTAAACTCTTTTTGCTTTTTAAGTTGTTTAGGTAAACAAATTTGATAGTCGCACATAAATATGCAATGATTTTCGTTGCATTTACTTTCACAGCCTTTTTAGTTTTCAGCGCACAAGAGTAGGCAACAATTTTGTTTCACCGCGCCTAAACGCTGCCACATAAAATGAAAACCTCACAGAAAATATTAAAATTATTCGATTTGAATGGTTTTACGCGACCAACACGTTCGCCACACAGCACGTTCGATTTTCCACTGCAATTGTTTGATTTTATTGCAACAACTTTTTCTGCTTTTCTGTTGTTTGCTGGAAGGCACGCACTGCCAATCCAATTAGTCGGGGTTCACCTTTCAAGCCGTTGTCTCTGCGCAAGGTAAATTGTTTTTCGAACCCAAAGTATTGACACAGTTTTCGAGCCACTTGTTTTGTTAGACACTTTCGTCTTCCTGAACTGTCACAGAGCACTGGGCTGTCATATAAGTAAGGCGGGGAACGAAGAGAGCTATGCTAATCCGTCTGCTCTGAGTTGGTTAATTAAAGACTGATTTGGCAAATAATTGTGGCTTAGCCATGCTCGACCCCAATTCGAACTTGTAAGCCAAAAGCATTGCGAAAACGCAAAGGGTCTGTGTTCAGTGTATTGAACTTTTGATAGTTCTATTGACGCCCCTTTTTACTGAATTAAGTTCAGCATGGAAAATGCGTTTTCAAGGTTAGTTCAAATGGGGTCAAATTGCGATTTAGGGATTTAAAGTTAAAAAAGCTTAAGTATCATATCAAAAGCTGATTTTAATTGATTGTTATCAATATCAGTACTGTGAAAACCTTAAAGAAATCAACAAAAAAATGGTATTTTTTCATGAATACATTAAACTGGTTCCCTTCTCTTTTATCACTTTCAACACTCCACTTAATTTAATAGCCCTTCTCAGTTTCAATCGGTCAACTTCCTATTCTTTCAACGTTATCGTCTCAGAGATTTGTCTTTCTTACACTTCCGCCTACGAATATCAGCTATTTTTTTCGTGGGTTTTTCTCGTTCGAAACGCGACGAGCTTCAAATACGAACTAAACTGAACAAAATCCATTGAATTTGAAGAGCCAACCAGACACACAAGCGTTTTTCCAACGGATAACGTTTCCAGCCAGAGAAGAACACAAAAACAAAAGCGATTGCGATAAAGCTGACTGACTGGTGGACTGAGCCCGAGTGAAATGAGACGAAATGAAGGGCTTAAGCCAAACAAATACACCCCCTAAAATGGCAAATTGTTCAAGGGGGCAGATGTTTAGGGGCAATAACCAAAAGATAACTATTTAAAATGCACACCTGCACGAAAAATGAAATACATAGGAACTCTTAAATCGCCTATGGTATGTAACTATATCTTTATAAGGAATCAAAAAAATATAATAACAATCCCCAGAAAAACTTATTTAAAAGTGGATGTATCTACTTACGAAAAACTCATCCTCGATGACGGGATCGGCGAGCATCTCGATGGCCTCCGTCATGGATCTGCAGGTGCGGTTCGTGTTCTTCTTCTTCTTGAGCTTCCTGCCCAGGGTGGCGGCATCGCTGAACCGATGGAGCAGCTTGTCCCGCTTCCGTACCGCCAGAGGACTGGTCGTTGAACTTGCGTGGCACAACAGCGATCCATAGCCATTCGTTGAGGAAATAGTTCCGGTGTTGGCATAGAAATTCTGCGGCTGATATTGCGCCGGAGCAGTCAGAGTGCTGTTCGAGTCGATCTTCTGGATGAGATTGTACTCCGATTGGGGATACTTGCTGGAGAGATGGGATACAGAGTCCGCTTTGGAGGTCAGCTGTGGTTTGGGTGGCGGCGGGGGTGGCTCCTTCATCAAGGCCACCCGCCGGGGAGCAGCTCGGGGTATCGTCGCCGAATGGGGGGAGGAGGTAACGTCGCCGCCATAACTGACAGCCCGACGATTGCGATCGTTTTCCTTTTCCCTGCAAGGATAAGAGAATAATGGTACCTTATTAGATGATGTTAACCAATCAAATGTAGAACTAAATTGATAGTTGAAAATATTCTTAAATAAATACATATTATATTATTTTCCCACCTATAACGCCTCCTCTGCATTGGCGGACTAAAGAAACAATTCGGCGATAGGGGCACAAAGTATCCCCACTGAGGATCCCGATCCGGACCCTCATGGTACATTCCCAACTGGGGAGTCATCTCCCTGGATCGACTGGATCTCAGAGTTGGCATAGAGACCCTCTGGGGACCAAAACTCCTGCTGCAGCGAAATTGGTTCCGATATATATGACGCTCCAGGGAAGAAGTTGTGGTCGTGGCATCCGATTCTAGGGTGCAGTCCGATCCTTGATCCTTGTTTTCCAGGGTGATATTGCTGCCCAGCTCCTCGTCATCATCATCCGTGGAACCCTCGGGCACCGTGTAGCAGGTGTATTCGAATTGCGACATCTCACAATCTCTTTTCTTTTGTTTTTATTTGTTTGACTTTTCGTTTGCACAAATTCAGTTCTTTGTCATTGTCTTCGCGAACTCCCACGATAAATGTTTCAATTATTTAATTAGTCCGCAACTTGTTGCTGCTTTATTTAAGTGCTTTACTTATATTTTCCCCTGACAAACGGTGAATGACAATTTCAGTTGGTCCGCCACTTAATTGCTCTGCTCGAGCTTGGCTCCGTCTAAAGTATTTTGGTGGCAAAAGAACATTAGACAGGCCGAGGCATTTATCATGTTCACCCTCTGGACACATCGTGCTTCCTGCCACAAAGAGGCAGCGGCTGTGTATGTCCAGTGGGCACAATTAAAAGTCGTTTTCGGCCTCCGTCGAAAAGCCGCCCTAATGAGGTGTTGAACGGAAGACGGCCATGTTTGGTCTAGTTAAGATATTTAACTTGGTCTTCGCATTTCACAGGCAATTTTCTCTTTAAAATCAGTGGGAAAACTTATGGAGCATTTTACAAAAGCAATTATTAATTCTTGAAAAAAAACACCACTTATTTGCTTTCCAAATTTTGTTTTACTTTTTTGCCGTACTCCATATAAAACGCCAGACAAACTGGCTCCACAATTGTAGCTTAAAAGTTCATTAACAATTTATGGGACGAAAAAGGAAAGTGTCAACAGTGAAATCCATCAACAATGCAATTAAAACGTCAAACAAGGAAGCGGCTGAGAGCCAGACTCCCCTTTAACCCGCAATTCCACTTCCTACACACAATAAAACTCCCCTTATTTGCCTGCCACACGCAGCTCTTGTTAAAGAGGCTCCACCATAATGATGATGCAAAAAGTGATCCCTGAGGGGGAAAAATGGGGGCTGCAGCTGTAGTAAATCTGCAGAGTTTGCAGACAGCGACAAGCCGGATATGAAGATTACAACGGATTCGGTTTGCCAATTCTGCAGTTGTTTATATTTATTTTATTGTTGCAATTACTTTCCTCTCTGCCTCATAGAACTGCATATTGGCCAAATTAAAAGTGATAAATGGCGAAATGGGGGAACAACCGGATAGGCGATCTAAAAAGATGCGAGATTTATGGTTGCTTAAAGCAAATGAGGCGCCAATGTTGTGAAAATGGATCCAGGTTTCCATCGTTTTAGTGTCAGTAAAATAAAGGAGAATCATTTTCATTTAGCTCTTCTTATTTTTATTCACTTGGTAAATTTTTTATGTATTTATTCACTTCATTATTTATTTATTTATAAAGATTTCACTCCATTTACATTGTTATCTTTGCAATTTTGTTTATAATAAGTACTTTCCCACAGACTTGCTCATCAATCATTCTATAAATACTTTGATTAGGTCAGCAAATTTCCCAGACATTTCAGACAATATGCCAATTTTTCCTGGGTATATGATTTAAAATTTTATTAACAAAACACGGACACACACGTTCTCTCAAAATTGTGGAATATAGACCGATTGGGAAGTTCAAATAAGTCGTATGCCTTTTTCAATGAGAACTTTTCAGTTCACGCCGCGGCTGTTCAAAGTAAATGTGCTGACCGCCGGCAATTTCCGAACTGATTTCGAGTAGAGCAACAGAAATTTCGTTGCCGCCGTGGGGCATCCATCAGCAACAAATACAACAACAACCCTCTCAGTTGGAAACATGCGCGACAGACTCGAAAATCGACGAAAACACTGGGAAAATCGGGAGAGAAAGATTTTCGAGGCGAAGGCGCCGAAGAGAGTGCGCCAAATAAGAACAAACATTGTGTTTGGCTAAATTGCTTAATATTTGGGGACCAAAATAAAAGCATCAACGAAAAGTAGCAGACAAAGGGAAAAGCAACAAGCCAGAAGAAACATTCGATTGGAAGAATTTTAAATACCCTTTTAGTCAAAATTTTATATAAAAGAATAAAACAATTTGGTTTTATTACCTTTCATTTAAACTTAATTTTTGATATTGATACAAACCAAAATAAATAACAAAGTGAACTTAAAGTGGCAATTCCCCATTAAAGGGTATATTAACTAACGATCTGATTCTAAGTGGAGACAATTCCCTGGATAACGAGGTGCAACACCCAAGTTCCCATATGTGCCTGTTTGTGTGAGTGTGTGTGTGAAATGTCATGCAAAATAAATGTCAGACGCTTAAAAATTAGTCCCTCTCTCTTTTTCTTTTTCTTCTCTTTCCTGTCCAAAGCGACATTAAATTGCCGTGACTCTTCAGAAAAACCAAAAAAAAGAAAAACTTAAACTGTTTCTGTTGTTATTGGTGTTATTAAAAATAAACATGGATGAAGTGTTGTTGCTGGGGTGCCGCCGCGAAGACGCAACATTTTCACTTGTCACGCATTTATTTTCCCATTTTCCATGTCGCAGCAAAATGTGTGTCATTTGGGGCAAGACGCCGTCTGCGGTTTTTATTGACATCTGTCCGACTCTTTTGGGCAATTGGCGTGATTAATAAAAGGGAGCAGTGCCCCCTATTCCATCCGGAGTTCTAGCAATTACACTTGTTAATTAAACTTGGGTGTGGATTAGCCCGCATTTCCAGTTTTCCCCGAGGGTGTGTGTGGCGGTGTATTGATAACAATTGCATGTCTGCCGCACAATTGCAATTAAATCAGTTCTAAAACGGGCGTGCTTGCTACATCGAACTTAAGTCCAATTGCCCGAGAGCGTTAAATTAACAATGCAGGCAGCAAACGGAGCCAAATGGAATGGAATCGATCGGTAAGTCGCTTTATATATACTTTTCTGTACGTATATATATATGTGCATGTGGGTTGCAAATGGCGCAGAATTAATTTAAGCACTGCAGGAGGGGTGGCAGAATCAGATCTTTAAGATAACCTAGCGGGAATTCGTGCTATTAATAAATGCAGCAAAGAGAGTTGCATAAATCACGGATAAATATTTTTGGGCCAAAAGCACACATAAATTTGTGGAAGAATAATTCAGAAAAATCATAGTGCTTGTTAGTAAATATTTGTATTTTCACAAATGTAAATCATACTACAATGTTTACTGAATTTAAATGTAATTATTGTCCCCTTCTAATCACAACATCTAAGCCACTTGACATCGTTTACCTTTCTCGACCCCAGACAACTTATGTCGGGCTGGAACTAAAAATGTGTATAATCGATTCGATTAGTGTCACTCGGGGGATTAATTGAATTAAACTGCACGTCTTGGTCGCAGTCGTTGTACTATGAAAGCTATGTTAAGTGTAATTACGATGCACAAGATGTCAAATGGTTTTAACCTCTTGGCGCGAAAAACAAAAAAGAAAGGAAAAATATACAGGCAAGTAATATGCGAGCAGAAAAGACAAAGAGAAATGTTAAAAAATATATACGTCCATGACTCAGATAGTGCGATTAAGTAGCGCTGACAGCTCGTATGATAGATACTGGCACGTGGTCGTAATTTAATTTCTGGCCGAGAAAAAGATAATTAATTATGAAAATGCGCTGGACATTTGTAATGTGGAGTACATGGATATCCAAACGGGTTTTATAGTCGAATTAGAGAGCTTAATACGAACTGGTTCTGCTTAAGAGAACATTCTATGCTTTTGAGTCCAAGGAAATGTGGTAATCTCCATTAAAACAAACATATTTCAAAGAGTTATAGACTATAACTCATCGTCAGCATAATTCATAAATCAGTTCCGATTGCCAGCGCTGGGAAATATGTTTCGAGCCAAATACCACAATCTTGAAAAGATTTAAAAACTTTAAAATAGCTCCGTTAAAATGTAGACAAAAGGTGGAGCAACACAAACATTGCCCTGCATTTGTCGCTATAAATAACAGCCACAACCGAAATAATAATCAGGGAAAACAAATATACTCATAAAACTTGGCAACCCTTTTAGCCAGCTGCTGTGTGAGAAAATAATTTAGGAGACAATGCGGCATCCGATCGGCGGAATAGTAAAAATAAATATTACAGCCAACACGAGCCAAAAAAACGTAAATTGAATTGAGTTTTTCCTCGCCGCCTTTAATTGCAGGTCATAAATCAGGGGGCACGACAGCTTAACTGGTTTTTTTTTGCCAAATGCAAAACGCGTCAAAATGTTTCGAAAATAAGCCAATAGCAGTGAAAAATGGAAACTCATTATTGGAGCTCCCCAGAAATTTGTTGCTTGATTATATTTGCTCTACCATTCACGCCGATCGACACGAAATCTCATCAATAAAAAAAAACTCTAAATGCTGGTATCGATTTCACATAATGAGTAAATTGTAAGGGCCATGCCTGCAGGGGGCCACCCACTTTAAAGGGGTTTTTGATGAAAGGCCTTCCTCGAGTGGAGGACCACCCGTCGATGACTTGGATCTGGTTCCGGTTTAACTGTAATTGAGCGCCTTAATGGAGCGACACTCTCACGCTCATGATATATGGGAAAGATGCTCTGGATAATTGAGGTAAGTGTGTGAAAACCCAAGTGGAAAATCGGTCAGACCCTACAGTAATTTCAAAGTAATTATAGA